TAGCGGTGAAGCTGTCACTCATTCATAAGGTGAAATGTGACTGAAAGCGAGAGTATTGAACAGAGAACTAGAGGTGAGCGCGGAAAGACGTTCACAGGGAAGGAAGACGACGGTTGTAAAAGGGGGAAACTTCCAACGGAGAAGAGTCAGACTGAAACCTGCCAGTAACCAATCATCTGAGACCTCAGCTCATTGAACGGTGACTGCAGAGAGCAAGAACAGATAGAGATGATCTCTCAAATACCTTGTCCTCTAACCTTTAGGTGAACTGATCCAAAAGAAATAATAAATAATTTGCAAAAGTAAAAAAACAAAAACAAAAAACTATTAGATAAAAAAAAATAAAAAAAAGGTTTGACTTTTTCCATCCCTCATTTCTTCAAATATTTTTTTTTGATCTGATGTAAAGTTATACCTTGTACTTATTTTTTTATTTATAAGTGTTAAGCTGAGAATTTGGTAATAAAAAAGTAGCCAGAAAACATCCGTATTTAATTAATCAATATAATGCGTTAATTTTGTCATTTCAGCTACTTAAATAAATTAAAGTTTCAATTATATATGTATATATATATATATATATATATATATATATATATATATATATATATATATATATATATATATATATATATATATATATATATATATACATATATATATACGGTATTTATATATATATACCGTTTTTATTCCAACTGAAGTCTTTAAAAATGTGCAGAAACACAAAGTGGCGAAATAGTAAAAAAGAAATGCGAGCTGATGCAATCCTCTTGTTTGATTTCAACATTGCGAAATTGAGAATAAGACTAAGCGTGTGTGAGTAGGAGAGACGGTAAAGATAAAGTATGTGGATCTGAGTGACTATTTGTGTGTAATAAGCGGCACTCCCACCAGCAGCAGGTGTGTCCAGGGTAGTTTTCATCTCTACCAGGACCTAAATGGTGTCCATCTGCTAACACACCCAACACTAAATCTGATTCAACGCCTCGAACACTCAGCTCCCTGTTTTTGGGAAGTGAAGCCAGCAACTGTAATATAATCTATTATATCAACTCGCTTTAAACGATCTCCCCAAAAAAACAAAAAAAAGCACATTTCCAATCTTTTAAATGAATGATGTTATTGGTATAATTCAGTATAACAACTTTAGCGTAGGTATTTTCCAAGCACCTGCATGAGTATTAGGAAAAACACTCAAATAAATGTTTTATTTCCAGTTTTTTAAGCAAGGCTCTGTGAAAAAAGCTGTCATGTTGAATCAGGTTTGCAGGAGAGCTGCATAGGGCTAACAGCTAGAAACTCAAAAAGCGTAAAACCCATATGAAGCCATAGTACATCAGTAGAAATAATAAAAAGAAAAATATATTGTTGCATGAATACTTTTTGAAGTTTCTCTTTTATTTTTCTCTTTTTCCTAAATAAAAGAAAAAAGGCCAAAATCAACTATGACAGAAGAGGCCGACCAGTTCAGCATCAGGAGCCAAAATAAACTCGCAGTTCAAAGAGCCGCACATTTTTAATCATTGAAATGTCTCATGACAAAAACCTCAACCTTTTTTATTTTCATATCAGTTGATCTTATTTCTTAACTGATTTCTTAAACATCAAAAACAGCCTAAGCCACAAAATGTTCCTCAGGATCACGAATGAAGGCAGTGCCCCTTTCTAGTCTGTAAAACAAGCTGCAAAAAATGGTGCTGTAGATTTGAAGTTTTTTGGGGTGGTTTCGATGGACACAGCAAATATGACCCGTGTCATGAGTTGAGGTGAAATAACCGCCAATGAAGTGCAGCTGGTGTAAAGTGTTGCTGCAGGAAGGAATAGGAATGGTGAGCGTTGATGTTTTTCATGGTAAAAGATTTTTCAAAATAAGATACTCTATAAACTGCCCTAACCCCACAAAACGGAAGTGCTCCAGACCACTAGAGGGAGACGAACTAAGCACAAACCCGATCCGACTAGATCCCCATACAAACAGGAAGTCAAGCTTTAAGGCAGAAAAAAAATAAAGCCAGTTGGAGGAGAAAATGAGTGGATTGTGCCTGTCGCTACCCGGCCCGTACCGGTAGCACGATCCGTACCATCAGCTCATTTGCGCCTGCGCGAACAGAATAACTTCCGGGTCGCCAAGAAATAATGTAATTACGGCACTGAAAAAACTTTATTTATATCCTTAAATAATTAAAGAATACTAAACTACATCGTAAAGACAATATTGAAGACTTTTCTGGAAGAAATTGATGCTTTTTAAATTCAATCCATTGTATTGCTTGACGTAATTTTTTCTGGAATAAAAATCCATCGATTTTTATTCCAGAAAAAATTACGTCTTCAATATTGTCTTTACGATGTAGTTTAGTATTCTTTAATTATTTAAGGTTATACAAAAAGAAACCCATGCCTCTAAAAAATACAAAAGAATAAAAAAGTAAGAAAACGGAAATATTTCCACCGGAAGTTATTCTGTTTGCGCACGCGCAAATGAGCTGATAGTACGGATCGTGCTTCCGGTACGGATCGGGTAATGACAGTGCCATCTTTGTTCTTCTTGCCCCAAAAATCAATCCCATGATGCACTGCAAGGTGAGCACTTGCAAAGCTTTCTGGGATATATGGTCTAGTGACCATGGTTGCTGCTACTTTTCAAGATGCATTGTGAGAAATAAAACTTTTTCATCCACCCAAAATTCGGACACTCATATAAAATGGCATAACCACTATACAGGGCAATCTTTAGGACACAGCCATTGTTGGACTAGCTAGTCCAGCAGATCCAAACAGCCATCTTGTTCCACCAAAGCAACGCCGAGTCTGTTATTGTTCAGCTGACTGCGAGATGTGCTTTTCAAAAGAGACACAATTGCTGTTTTCTGACATTTTGGTTTGAGCTTAAAAAATCCAAATAAGGAGCGTTAAATTGCTTAGAGCGAAAAAAAAAAAAAAAAAAAAAAAAGCAAGTATAACAACTGGGCATGTTTGCACATTCAGAAAGGGAAAGAAATGCAAAAAGGTTTAATCCGCCCCATTAAAATCAGAAAATTACAAGTCCTTCTGGTAGTTTGAGAGTGGATGTAAAATAGAGGTAAAGTTCTAAGAATTAATCAGAGGTAAACATGATAATAATAATGATAGATAAAATCAGAACCATAATTTTAAATCTGAATATTATTCATAGCACACTTTACATAAATATCATAAAGATAATACAAAAAGAAAAGAGCAAACCTTAAATTTAAAAGACCAAATATTAGTCGTACAATTTGTCCTTACATCCAACCCCTCTTTGACAGCAAAGAAGCCAGATTCAGATTCACAGAGAGATTCATGTCTAAACAGCTGGATTTACTTCCACCAACTGCTCACATCATCCAGTGTAAAGCACTGCAAACCAAGGCAGCCCCAGAATAATTCCTCACAGCATAACTGTGCTTCACACAGACTCCAAGAAGAATTAAGGTCCCTTCAGAGCCATGATGGTTGTTTTAGGATTAATCTTTATAATTTATAAAAAAGCTTGTTAAATATAACAGATGTATATACTTCTCTATAAGTTAAATAGTTTTTCCTACCCATACTATAATGCTTATGGTACAAATTCTAATGTTGTGCATAATATCCCTGAGCAGTCAAATTAGTTGAAGAAGAGATGCAAATGATAACACATATAGGATCCACATGGTGTGCTAATAGTTCAAATGCTTAAAAACGATGAGGAAACGTTTTTCTTGGCAAGTTTCCATTCTTTTGAGAACAAGGTTGACATGAGCCACAGAGCTGTAACTGTACCTGTTCTCCGCTAAATTTAGAGTAAAACATTTTAAATTTTAAATCTTAACTACGAGTTGTTTACTATAAGAACAAGTGTAATTGTAAGAGTTGTTTAAAGAATGATGAAGAATTGGGAAAATTCAACAAAGTCAAAACAGCTAAAATAGGTCTAATAATCTCTGAAAGTTGGTTTTATTCATGTCAATATCCGTATCTCTGCTTCTGTCTCCTTGAACCCCAGTCGGTCTCGGCAGATGGCCGCTCACACTGAACCTGGTTCTGCTGGAGGCTTCTTGCTGAGTTTTCCTCCCCACTGTTGCTGCATGCATGACCAGTGTCAGAGATTGCCAAGAGTCAATGAATCCATTCAATCAGCCTGTTTCCGTCGGATAGAAAAATTGACCAATCTGAATCTATTAACTGTATAAATAAATACATTGAATGTAATAAAACTTTTCTAATTGTAGCTTTTCTCTGTGTGAGTCTCTCCAGGTTGAAATGAAGAACTATTGCCCTTTTTTTTTTATTCTGTACCCTTATAAAAAAAAAAAAAGCCCCCCTGGTACATTTAGTGCAGAGGATACCAAAAGTTATGTTTAATTTATTAATATTTCTATAAAACCACTAAGACAAACCCTCCCATTATAAGCAATAGAAGACAGAGTCTATTTTCCTTTCTACAGCAAAAAAAACAACAACAAAATTTTCCCTTTAGTGCTGCTTTAAAATGACACCTCTCACTTGGATGCTTGATGCTCTCTACACCTCATGCAATGATTAGTGTGACTTACAAGAAGGGAATGTTTCTGGTGCACAAAAGCAGCGTGCTTTTAGAGATAAGGAGGAGTGTTTTTGGTGACAGACGAAGGGCCTTCCTGTCCTGGGACGGAGCCAGAACATCCAATGGAAAAATTCAAGCTATTAATCATCCTCTAAAAGGGGAATTCAAATGTGACAAAACTTCTTTTTCACAATCTCAGGGAAGTCTTTTAAGCAGGATAAAGTTTCATGCAATCTCCCTCTATCGCTAAGTCAACTTTGAATAATTTCTGACTGCAAATGACCAAGAGGAGGAAAGGAAACCAGCTGACTAACTAAATGCCCCAAAACCAACCAGAGGCGAGCTGAACAGCTGAACAGTCCAGGTAAAGACTGGTAATAGTTATGATGCTTTCTGACTGCAAAGACACCCCCCCCCCCAACACACACATAGGATCACACATACTCACCCAATGAAGGAGACCATCTGCTCCACAATGTGCTTGCTGAAGGTGATGATCACAAACAGTTTCTGTATGACAAAGAGGCACACAGAGAAGCAGAGAGTCAGTTACTGAGCCATAAGGTCGGCGCTGAGCCTGTTGAACAAGGCGCCGTGCATGCATCATCAGTTTGACCAGTACATCCCCCCCCCCAACACCCACACTCCTCAACCACCACCATCAGACACATCATCATGCCCAAACCCATGCCTTCTAAGTGGTTTTGGTGAAAGCAGGAATGAAGGACGAGAAATTTGGTCAAGAGGGGTTGAAAAAACAAGAAAAAACAAAAAAGGCCTGGACTTTGTGACACATGAGTGGGTCAGCATGTCAAAGAGGCTTTCAGCGTGATGGGGGGGGATCATAGGTGATGTGTCACTGGGGGGGGGGGGTCTGGATTCAGTTCCTGCCCAGCTTGATTTACTGCTTAGTCACTGGTAACATGGGGGGAACATGCAACTGGTGACTGGTGTGGCCATGCCGGCTCAAACAGGCTCTGTGTCGTGTTGGGTGGGTGGGGGGTAGGTGGGGGGTGGGGGGGGCTAGAACATGCACACAAAAACTGACCTAATTCTGAAGAATACTCGAGCTCTGGGCCTATTTAGGTTTTACGATAAAAAAAACAAGGATTGTTAATTTCTTTGCTTCTTTCTAAAAACATTTGCAGAAAATAAGCCAATAAATTTTTTATAAGATGCACAACTTTCTAAATGTAGGTCTTATAACTGAAATGCATAGTTTGGAAGAGGAAAATCATTCAGTACGAAGCCCTAAATTTAAAAAAAAAAAAACAGCAGAGCTTGTTTACCTATTTTTTACTAACTCCTTCCATCATCTGTGAAATTGTGGACTGGTATCAATACGTTCCTTTAACAGGTTGTCAGGAAAACAATAAAATCTCATCCTAAAAATTGACTGGAGAGTTTAAAAAAAACAACAAATCATAAGACAGAATTGTATGACTGGTCTTTTCAGATAAGATTTTTTTCATTACATTTTTTGTGAAAATGATATAAATATGGATCCTTCTTGTCATATTTACAGCAGAGACAATTTTAATTTTTTCAGCTGCCATCATTTTTAGAGACTTTATCTGTTTATTGGCCAAAACAGGGAAGTTTTAACCGTAATTGTAATTAACTCCCAAGAACAATAAAAAAAACTAATTTAAGGTGTAAGAAAAGTAATAATAAAGTAAGATGAAGCTAAATAAATAGAAATAAAGTAGCCATGTCCCGCTCAGCAGGCTGAGGACCAACGACCACGCTTAGACGGCACCCGGCACCAGTTTTCCCGGGCGGCAATTTTAATTTCATGTGACAGGACGCTTTGATCACTTCTTTTGTTACAGTCTTGGCTCTCAGCTAATGTAACATGCAATCCAGGTCATCCATGTATTGTCGTATATTCGTCCACCTCTTTGTGTATCTGTTAAAGCCTCTGTGCGTGGCTAACCACAACGCATTTACAACAATAAAATCCTAGGGATTCATTGTCATATTATTATCCGTCGGGCTCTCTGACAATATTAACATTTATTTAAACCTAACAGTTCTTACAGAGATGTGCGAATAACTCCATAAGATGTTCAGTCAACTGTTTATTAAATCTTATATGGGTATCACTAAAACTTCAGTTTTTTTAGTATCTCTGTAATATTTTGTGTATAATTCAGAAACGTGTTTTATTTGTTGTTTCTTTTAAAGATGGAGGATAAACCAGGAAAATTATGAAGGTGATGATAATTTCAAGGTCAAAGTTAGACCCAGGTTACTGATGCAGCTGAGCTTTTAAAGCTGTGATGAGGAAGATGAGGAAGAAAAACATGAACCTATTGTTTACCATCTGTTCTACTTCTAAAATTATAAGGGCAGTTTGGTTATTTAATCTGAAGAGAATGCTCCTAGTTTTTTTTTTTTTTTTACAAAAATTGAGGATTTTTTTCTAACAGTAAAACACTTTTTTTTCTGAAAAATAACTTTTGTTTGCATTAAAGAGATGGAGAGATACAGAAGAGCAATAATGTGCTTCATTAAAGGAGCTTTTCTCTCGATGCACCAGCAGCTCCAGCAAACACTGACGCATCATCCATCATCTAAGACAAAAGGAAGGAGGAAGAGACGAGCAGGATGGCAGGAAAGCTGACTAAGATCCCCAGAACTGGTCTGCTCGGAAACCTGATGACATTGTCTTGACTCGCTAAATTCTGATAACAGCTCATGTCAACAAAGGACTCATGAAGCACCCTCAGATTCAAACACACACCATCTAAGCAGGTAAAATCATCTCAATTCCCTCCTCAACATGTTTCAGCAGCTCTGACCGCGAATGCATTTACATCAAGGAGTAAGAGTGGAAGTGTTGCATCTTTGCCCTCTCCTTTGCTGCACTCTGTGCCACACCTCAGTTCCTGTTCTCAGGAAAAAAAGAGTCACCTATCCCAAGGGTCCAAAGTCTGCACCTCACTGACATCACCAGGGATCCTCAAGTGACCCGCTGCGTCACAAAGCCGGTGACGTTAACTATTCAGCAGCATGCATTCAGAGCAACAAAAGACACAAGCAGCAGTGAATAAAAAAAAAACAAAAAGGAAAAACTCAGTCCTTGGAGATGGGTGAGGACACACCTGAAGCACAGGTACAAAGATCAAACACACACAATAGGCCTGAAAATCCCCCTTTGTTCTTTCCTGGACCATTAGTGAAAGCTTCACCTGCTCTGCTGTAGGTTTCCTTTGTTTTCTGCTCACAATGTAAATTACTGGACATTTTTCATTGGAGGCAAAAGTTGAGTTTGAAGTAAATTAGACCAAGCAGCTACAGGACAGACTGGGGCCCCCAGGCATGCCGGGGAGCCGGGAGAAGTCTTTTCTTTCTAAAAGAGACAGAGAAGGACACACCTCTACCAGTGGGGGGCCCCCAGGGACCCCTGGGTGTAATCTGGTCCTGTATGTGTGATTGTGCCTGCCCCACATGCAACCGCTCCCCCGCCTTCCCCTCACCCCATCTGTCCCTCTCTCCTTCTCTGCCTCCATCACCTCCTGCAGACAATGTTGATCTGCTGTAACGTGTGCTCACTGCAAATTTGCACATCTCTCCTAAATACGACGCGGTTCGGGACAAAGCTGCGCTCCAAACACCCCACCACCAGCACATTCCCCAACTCTGCTTAGAAAACAAAACGCTAAGCTCCTGACGCTAATCACGGACATACTGCAAATTCCTGGACGCAAATTGAGGATTTTCCAGGATTAGATGAAACATCAGTAAGGCCAAATTTCCCTACTGTACTTTCTTAGTCAGGCTTTAGGAAACTTTCTCAGTCTGCTGTGCAGCACACAGGGGCTACTGCTGCAGTCACAAAATGGTTGACTCCCCTGCCTCTGTGCACAAAATGGCCTCCCTGTGAGCAGCTGCTAGTGCTGCGACGCTGAGCCTGACAGTGAGTCATTGCATAACCCAGCTGTCCGTTACAGTTGCATGGAGGATATATAGTTAAATTTAAATTAGAACTGGCCAGAGAACAGGAAATACATCTAAAAGCAGACATGCCAGGCTGTTCTTTCACAAGATTTATGGAGCAGAGGGACGAATCCAGAGCATTTCAGTGTGAATATAAAGAAGCTCACCTGAATGTGCATTTTGATTACCGCCTTCCCGATCAGTGTTGCCCCAAAAAAAGTCCAGAAGGGGACCAGAAAATGTCCACACGTTAATCCGGCCAGGTCAAACAATGGATTGGGAATCTAAGGAGGGAAATATAGGATCTTTTTAGACTTAATTCTGCACAAGAAACAAAAGACTATATAATATGAAAGGTTTCTGTGTCTTTATTTTAGTAGCTTTGCTTCCTTTCTGCACCCCACTGACTAAAACAGAAGGTCTGTAATTGCATTAAATAGACTTTTTAGAGCAAGATATTTGAAAGCTGGTGAATTTGACTCACAGAGGCACATGCTAAAATCCCCAAAAACCCGACCTTCTGGATAAGCTTCTGGATGGCAACTTTCACCCTAGATGCAAAATCCTGTAATAAAAAACAAGCAAACAAAACAAAATATAAATTAAATAGAGAAATATGTCATTTTTTTTCGTTCTTAATAATGAATGAAAAACTTTTTTTTCAGGGGAAACTAGAAAAATCCTACTTTTTATTTAAAATCATGACCTATAATCACATCTACATTAGACCGACTTTAGGAAACCAAAGATAAATTGTTTATCATCATTTCTTAAAATATAATCATTATTTACACTTCTTGAAACAAATGATCCGCTTTAAAATAATGTCTTATTTATTGGTTTGAAGCGGCTGTATTTATTCAGCCTCATTAACAAACACTTTAACTTACAATTTGTTTTAATGGTTTGTTTTTTAAAACTGTGGTTCAGAAAGTTGGAATCAAATATTCGTAACTCTTCCAACAAAACTGTGATTTATTATCGTCAGATAAAGTGCATTTCTTCTCAAAGAAATAAGTTTTAGAGCCCATTCTCTCTCTAATATATCACTAAAATTAAACTAAAATAAAACAGAAATGTTTCTGAAGGCAAAACAAGAGCAATAGTTTAATTTATGTTGCAGAGCAGCGATTAGATTTATGACAAAGAGGCTTGTGAACAAATTTGAAGGCTTGCTTTTTATTTCATGTTTGCAAAATGGTCAAAATAATTTTTTCAGTCTGAAAAAAGTTTTGTTTTTTTATTAAAAGTGACAAAAAAAGAGCTTTTCAGAGTTTTCCCATCATGTCTAGGTATCAGCAGTTCACAGTATTTAGTTTTATATTTGAATTCTGGCTGAAAGTTTCTTATTATTACAATCAAATGAAGTGTGAAAGAAAAACTTGCTTTTCAAATCCTTCCAGTAATACTGTGTGTTAAAGAAAAGCAGCAAAGTGAGGAGATTCTTGCTCCTCCTGTAAACAAATTTAGCAACAAATGACTTTAAACAATTTCTTAGCAACAAGAAAAAAAGAAATAAAATCCTAAATAAAAAGTTATATATCAGTAAAGATTATTTAGAACTTTAAATGTGACTAAATTAAATTTTCTATGAAAACTAATCTGAACCTCTTTGTTTCTAAAGTTTTTTTTTATTTTATGTCAGAAGCAAAAATCTTCTTGATAAAAGCAAATAAATATTTATTTTTAAACACATGAACATTTTTCTTGATTTTTATAGAAAACATGCAAAAGCCAAACCTGATAAATAAGAGTGTTTGCTGCAGAGAGGTGCTTAAAAGCTGCAAAAAACAACTATTTTTACATTAGATAATTTTATTTATTATAAATATTTATTTTTAAAAGGAATTTTAAAGTAGAACTGCTTGCTGCAGTAAGGAGAGAACCCTCCAGCATCTGCAGATAAATTAAATTTTGCATTTCAATGCTCTGATTCACCTGTATGACTCTAAATAAGTCAGGAAAAAATATTTCTCAACATGTTTTATAGCCTGAAGTAACACTAATTTGTTTTCTGCAATTAATCATCTTCAGGTTTAATGCCTTATCATTTCTTTAATTGGAAATATCTGAGACAAAGCAGCAATTTCTGGTCATGTTCCTGTGACTCAGACATCCAGGACTTTTCCGATCGCTGCTGCCCCATCGCTCCTGACAGAACAACAAAGGCCTCTTTTCACTCCAGTGACACAGATTTGTCCAGAATATTCCAGGAAGAGAAGGTTTAACCTGTTTGGAATTTAGCTAAATTATATTTCTGGGAAGAGGATCAGTGCATGCAGGCCGGCGCTGCATCTCCCACACCTCTGATATTTGGATATTTCAATTTGAAGGTAAAGGGGAAAAGATTACTTTAATGCAGAGTTAATTTATTACTATTAAAGTTTTTCTTTTTCCACCAGTAATGCTGATTTTTACTCTTTATTATTTAAATTTTTTTTTTGCAAAATGTAATTTAAAATTTTTACCAAATTTGCTAAATATTTAAAGAACTCTTAAACTTTTAAAGACCTAACCTATTTTGTTCTTATTAACAATACCCAGAAGTGTTACAATATGAAAAAAATGATATATCAAACTTTTATTACACTTTCTAAGGTATTTTTTTAAAGATACATCAATCTAATTTAATTATTTTGCTAACACATTTATTTAGAAAAGCTTTTTTAAAACAAAAAATTATGCTTGTTATTTAAATGTTTTTTTTTACACAGACAAGTTTTGGAATGTAAAATAAAATAACAAACGTTTAAAAAGATTTAGGCCTAGTTTCTCTTTTTTATTTCAAAACAAAGAAATTAAAAGTATTGATTTAAATTTTCTATAATAGCAATTCTACTTTAGAAAGCTGTGCATCTGGTTTGCAGCTTTAAAACCTCTCTAAGTGATGTTAAAGTTAAAACAACAATAATATTTTTGTCCTGAAATTAGCCTTAAAATGTATAAATCATAGCCATATGAAGGCCTTCCTAAAGTATCATAATTTAGCTTTATTACAGCTTTGGATAAATGTTTATTTCAAAGCTTATTATGATTATTTGATTTTTTCTGGATAATTACTTTTCTAAAGAATAAAGATTTGTTCTAATCTAAAAGTCTAAAGTTAGATGGAAAAAACAACAATTAAAGTAAATAAAGTAAGGCCTAAATAGGACTTTTTGGGGGGATTTTTTTCCCTTGCTTCATGAAGTCCAGAGGGGAGGTTTGTTATACAGTATCAGGCCTTATATGGTCAATGAAACCAATTCATTGCTGATGACATTCTTTGCGGGGTGCTACTCAGCAGACAGGAAATCTGAGCGACATGGGAGGCAGCCTAATAAGGTGGTGGTGGGGGGAGCAAAGAGACGTCCAATCTGATTGGCTCTCGATTTGAATTTCTGCCTCCACTGATGTCCAATCATAAAAGTTTCTCCTCAGACAACCCGGAAGTTTTAATTTCACCCTGTCCCCATGTGCATGAGTGTGTGAGTGTGGCTCAGCTGGTGGGATACAGGGAGGGAAGGAATGTAGATGGCTGCTTTGAGGACAGTCTAGGACACCTGACAACGTCGACCGATCCACTGCGGCCCGACTCCTGTAGAACCAATCACTCATTCTTTTGTTTGCAGACATCATGACACCTCCATAGTTATTTAGGTGCTGCAGCTGAACGTTTGGCTCACATAATGAGGGACCATAAAAATAGTCAGAGAGCATGAAAATATCATTGCAGCCTGAACAAAGGGTCCCAGAGGGGCTAAAGGGAGGGGGCCAAAAGAAGGTTAGAGAGTGTATGTGTCAACTAGTGACACTGTGATTTAGTGCAGTTGAACTGCACACTTGGATCTCTCCTTTGTGCGTTTCTGGGCCATGGAAGCATCTGTCCAGGATGGATGGGAATCAGACATCCAGACTCAGCCACTGGCGGCAAGAGGAAAATCACTGATTTTCCCTGGCAACTCGCCAGCGATTTGTCCTACCAAACGCTAACCCACTTCTCCACCCCAGTTAACAGCAGGCTGAGGATCTAGGCTAAGGGAGGAATTGGATTTTGTAAGATCATCTTCAGGATGTGATTTCACAGAACAATGAGGTTCGGTTTCACCTTTAGTTGCTCAGCGCAGCTCATCCTCAGAAGGTGATTCTACTTTCTGGCACATTATTGGCTCAGATTTCCTCCGTAAGCATTTTATATCACGCTTTGGTTGAAACAAATAGAAACCTTAATGAGCAACTTTATATCTTGATAAATTAACCCTAACATCGGGCTCACTGGGCAAAATAGAGACTCTATTACAAGTGATTAATTTAATGTCGGTTTTCTTTTAATTCCAGGATAATTGTAAATTATATAGAGTAATGTGCAAGCTTGATGGAGGGGAGGCTCTGAAAGAACATGGCCAAACAAGGGTCCTATGAATGTAATAGGGGCCCACCCAGACCAAAAGGAGGAAGATTGTCAGCAGTTTTTTTAACGCTGTGGTTTTGGGATGGAACGACTTATCAGCCAGACCGTATTTCTGGCCGATTATTAACGTTTTTATTTCTTGTATCGGTCGATACATGCTCATCACCGGATTATTAATGCATTGCGTAACAATTGTTTGCATTGCATCATCTCTACCTCATAAATGGAGGAAGAGAAAGAAATATCAGCTTCAAGGATCCGCCCCCCCCCAAAAAAAATCAGCAGCGCATATCATGGATGGGGTTAAAAAAACAATCATAAAAATTGTTTATTGGTTGATTTATTGGTTGAAATTTTACAGCAGCACCGAAAAAGGGACCCAAAAAATTAGGATGGATAGCAGAGGGTAACCCAGTGGGTACATAAAATAAAATGCACCCAATGCCTCTTTTCCCTCTATAACGTTAAAGATAGACATAGATACCTCAGAGCACACCCACAACCTCTCGTTTTGATAAATGTAGTGTCCCACATTGACTTTCATTGATTTTTATTCATTTTTAACCCTTTCTGTGCCCTAACCTTGAAAATAACCCTAAAACTAACCCTTACAAGTGTTAGAAAGATAGCTTGATGTATGTATATAAATATATATATATATATATATATATATATATATATATATATATATATATATATATATATATATATATATAATGTTTTTTTGATTGCATATAATTTTAAAAAGCTCTTTTAAATTAAGGTTTAAAAATGTATATGAAAATGAAAGAAAGGTTTTGGACGTAAACCTTAAAATATATTTTTAACCCTTTAAAGTCCTGCCTAGCATCAGAAATCACTTTCGTCTTTTTCTTGTTTCTTGGTGGATTTTTACTTTTGTCATTATTATTTTTTTTTAATATAGCATTTTCAAAGCATTAAACAGGACACAGGATGGTGTGGTATCCATTTATTTGAGTTAAGTTGCAGAAACAACATTTTGATTCATTTTAAGTGTTAACAAAATAGCTTATGAGGACCGGCAAAAATATGCTCCCTTTGTAAAAAAAACTGCACTGGAACTGGTCCTTATTGTTATTGTAAAACAGGAGTAAACAAACACACACAACAAAACAGAAAACATTTTTTCCTGTTTATTCAGGATCAAGAGGAGA